GTACTTGCACGCACACAAAACTTGGCAAACACATCAGACCCGGCGAAAAATGTTATAATTCGGGGGAAATACACACCTCAATAGAAAAATGGCTCAACAGCGCCACCTAGAAAATCATGAAAAACAGGCCCCTGAACACACTTTCACGCAGAGCCACGAAATTCGGCACATACGTAACATGTTGAGACGCACAAAAAAGTCTCAAGAACACACATCTGAAGCTCAACAGGAAGTCGGCCATTTTGAAAAAAGTGGCGGAATTTGGCCATTTTCTTAATCTATCTCCTCCTAGGGGGTAAGTCGTACACTACAGGACGTGGTGATTAAAAGTTATTAAAACGCTCCGCCAAAGTCTGATGGCGTAGAAATGGTGGCCCATGCAATTTCGATCATTGGCCATTTTGCTACTTTTCGCTGTGTTTCCGGCATTCAACAGAAACACGGTCAGAATTTTGTGATTTTCGTTCATTTTTGGCCATTTTCAAAATCTATCTCCTCCTCATGGGAACGTTGTACACACCTGAATTTTGGCCAGCACAAACCACAGGACTTGATGATTAAAAGTTCTTAAAACGCCCCGCAAAAGTCTGATGGCGTCAAAAAAGCGGCCTGTAGAATTTCGCCAAAACGCCATAAAATGGGACGTGCTGTGTAAGTTGCCTGTACGTGCTCCAGGTCCCAGCCAGAGCGCGTTACCAGCACGCCACCTCGGCCCGTCATTAGACAGGAACTGGTGGGCGTACACTCACAACGCCACTTGGGGGCATGGCCACAACCATATGCATTCGCCGCAAAACAGGAAGTTAAGTGTAAATAGCTGAAACACGGTCCAGTTGCACTCAAACTTCACATGTTGCATCACACTCCAACCCTCGTCACAGCCATATGACGACTCTCAGTCACAACGGCACTTGGGGGCGTGGCCACGACTATACACATTCACCACAAAACAGGAAGCGAAGTGTAAATAGTCTAAACATGGTCAGATTTGGCTCCAGCTTTGCACGTTGCATCACAGTCCGATACTCATCACAGCCACACAACGATAATGACCGTCAGCCACAGCGCCACCTACTGGAAACAGGAAGTGAAGTGTAAAAAGCCTGCAAATGCTCAAAATTCACACGTTTCATCGCAGTATAGCTGCATACATACATGTGCACATCGACTATCTTAGTCGCACTGCCGCAAGAAGCGAGGACCCGTCCGATGCCGCTTGCAGCTGTATTTATTTTTTTTTTTTTAATTTTCTTTCTTTCTTTTACTTACTTTCTTTCTTTTCTTTCTTTCTTTTTTTTAAACATATTTTGATTTTTTGTTTTATTTTTAAAGGTTTTTACTGTTTTGTTTATTTTTTTAAATCTAGTTTGTCACATGTTCTTTTTTTAAAAGTCTTACACTCAGAATGTCAATCCACAGACATTTTACATTTTCCTGCAAAATCTTAGCTTTGAAATAACAGCTTCAAAGGCTATTTAGCATTTTCAAAAACTAAAAACTTTTTCCTTTCAATTTTCCTTCAAAAAAAAAAAAAGAAGGAAGGAAGAAGGGGGCAAAAGGAAAAAAGTCAAGAAGGAAGGGGAAGCCAAAGAAGGAAAAAAAGGGGAAGTGAAAGGGGAAAAAAAGGGGAATCAAAAGAAACCCAAAAACCTCCCCCCGGGCAACAACTCCCGAAAAAACAACCCCAAAAACCCCCCCCTTTCTCTTTCTTTTTCTTTTTCTCCTCCAGTTCTTGTATCTCATGCTGCACTTTGGTCTTGTCTTCCTGCAGCTCTTTGTTTCTGTCCTCTTGCTCTGCTCTCTGCTGTTCTCGTTCTGGAGGTTCTCATTGCTCACCTCCGTTTCCATCTTTTCTTGCTATTCTTTTCCTGGAGTCCTTTATTCTCCTCCATTTGATTCTTTTCTTGCTCCAGTTCTTTATTCTTCACCTGGAGTCCTTTATTCTCTTCCGTTTGATTCTTCTCTTGCTCGAGCTTCTTGTTCTCCTCCATCTCCAGTTTCTCTGTGTCTTTTTTCTCCTTTTCAATAAGGACTTCTTTTTGTAGCTTTTTGTCCTCCTCGAGCACTTTCTGGTATTGAAGGACTTCCCTTCGCTGCTCCTCCAGAAAGATCTTTAACTCTTGCAGCTCTTTGTCCTTCTGTTCGAGCTGGGGTTTTTTTTGTCTTTCTCCACCTCCTTTCTTTCCTTGGCGAGGGCTTTCTTCTGCTCCTGCAGCTCCATGTTGTCCTCCAGTTGCATTTCGAGGATGGAGATTCTCGCCTCATTCTGCTGCTGTTCGTCCTGTAGCCCCTTCTTTGTTTCCTGCAGGAGCAGGAAAAAGTTTTCACGTACGCACACAATAGATTCTCGTGCGCATGAGAAACTACATTTAAAGAAAAAAATCTGCCAATGTCCGTTTAGCGGCTCAGTAGAAATAGTACACATTTCAATTTACTGTTCCAATTTTAGATTGTAACAGTAGCTTTGCCACAAATGCTTAAAACTTTCTTTTATCATTAACTGTACATAATAAAAATTATATCTGTGAAATTATAGCTTTACATATCAACTACTTTTTTTGCACATTGAATTCTGAGGCCTTTTGAACGACAGTAACTTGGGAACTGTTCAAGATCAAAACCTAAAATGTTCGCTGTTTATTGCAATTGTGTCACTGATTTAGAATCTGCAATAATATACAAGTAGATCAGATAATCTCTGCTGCTAGGTGCA